CTGCAGTACATAAAGAGATATGTGAAAGACATCCCTTTCGACGGAGAATGTCATCTCGGTGCAGACTGCAAAGGAGCTATGAAGTGAAAATTCCCTATCTGGCTGCTCTTTCTCCTCGAATGCTGTGGTAAAAGGCTTCAGAGTCTTGGGATTCTGCTTGAGTGTGGAGTGAGGCGAGAAGTTGCGGAAAACTGGGAAAAAGTGTAAAACTTCCATCATCTCTCCGTCTGGGCTTCTCCTTTACGGTTAATGTGTTTAGAGCTGTGCGAAATGACGTAAAAAGTAGTTGTGCAGACGTCGGACTGCTGGTGAAATATTCAGTCCCCCTCACCGGAAGAGTGACAAGGAGACAAGAAGAAAAGACACTTTTATCGGATTTGAGTTATGCGGTAATTCAATTAATAGCATTCTTCGGAGGAAAATTCCATTTTCATAATCACATTCAGCTGTCGCTTCGCGCGCCATTCTTTATAGCCCGATTCTGGCCTATTAGTCTGTCTGCAATTTTATCCACTTTGCTGGGGAAACGATGTCTTCTCATGGTACGAGATCCTATTTGTTAGTCAATATTCCTCAACCCGGGGTCTGCAGATGAGATATGCCCTTAAATTTGCCGAATTTCCGTACTGAAAAGATGCGAGCTTAGCCCCTTGACTTGCTCCTCTCCAGCGGCAATATTATTTATTGAACAGTGAATCATTGTTTTGCATACGAAATTTGAAACTTACACACATACACTTATGGATTATTATTGGTATTGTGGTGATGCAACGGCGTACACGGTGCATCCCATATGTTGTTTGGCTTTCCATTCTCAGCCCAGAGAGTACAGATGCATTCCCTGCTGCAGAAGCTCCACATGATTGTCTTCCGACAATATCCATGACGTGGTAAACATTTTGCAAAAATTCCTCACTCCCTCCTCTCGGTTGGAGCAAAATAAATACCCCGGTCGTCGGGGAGTTGCTGAGGTACAGATATGGTGTTCACAATATTTTCCGCAGCTGCCAGAGAACGTGGTGAATCTGAGGAGAGGCATCAGCTCAGAAATTTCAGAAGCAGTGAATCGTGGAGGAAATATACACCAAATATCCTCTCCACCCAAACCATGTTACTCTCGACAATCCACCGCCTGTCGATTTCCATGGGAATTCAACTGTGCATATCGCTGCTTCTTGGCAACCCAACCTCCTTGTCGCACCCGTCCAGATCCTGACCGAAGGAGAGCAATAATGGCGTGAGTCGCCTTGGCGGTGGGTGGCAAAATGCTTCTTCCTGATTTATTCCCGGGCAAAAAATTTACAATTCACTTCACAAATTGTGTATATATGCAGTACTTGAGCTCTTTAGCTGCTAGATTCACTCTTTCACTCAAGATACCAGATTTTATGCTCAATACCTGAGATAGTCTGATTCACGCCAATGAAAAATTCGAATTTATGGCTAAATCCCGAGATAGAAAAACCTTCCACATACTCGAAAGAAGGTGAAAAAAGCTCCAATTCAAATGCACTTTTGCTGAAATTAATTGAACATTTCACTGAGGATTTTTTTATTTGTCAAATTGTTCATCAAAGTGCGTATCTATTTACATGACGGCTACATAATTAAAATCAGAACATCAATGACTCGTTTCTCATTACAAAAGCCGATAGAGTGGCCATTGTTCTGTAATTTTAATTAGAGACAGAGAGAGAGAAATAAAATGGAGCCGCGAAACCACTGTAATTATTTATGAATTCAGCAATATTGATTACACTTCCTCTACTATTACAACCTTTGTCGTCCTGTTGATTCCGTGGTCAGGATTTCTGCGAAGAATGCGCATTCATATGGGAAATGCGACGGATTTGTGGATTAATATGTGGCCCTCCTTGTCCATAGATCCACTTTTGTGTGCCTCCCAAGTGAATGCGAGCCCATTCAGAATAAACGCGTTGTCCGCGTAACTGGCGCATAATTGCGTTGACCACCATCAATTTTGCCCATCCGTGCTGTCCATCGCAAAATTGACGCAAATTCCGGCCGAATGTGAGCCTTCCCTGGGGAAAATCGGGAAAATCACGCTGCAACGTGCTTGTTTGCAGCTAATTGGCATCTGATCAAGAGGTATACGTATAATCTTTTGGCGTTGGATCCATCGCAGTCTTTGCACAGACATCCGAGAGCTGTATTCAGAGCAATATAACTGCGCTGAAATTTATTAAACAGTTTATCTTAATGGTATTGCAGTGGCAGTTTAGGAATTTCTGGAGAATGCACACACAAGATAGTGCATAAAAGTCCGTGTGCATATTTTCGTGCTTTCCCAGTATTTGCATGCACTGGTGGAGGGCAAATGTACTTGAGACAATGAGAAAATGAGGAAAAGTTTGAGAAATGGCGCAATAAATAAAGTTATTTGTGAGTTATAGAGAAATTATTTTAGTGGAAACCGTTCAATTTAGCAGAAATATCACGGCTAAACGAGCAACTTTCCATATAAATTCACACATATACACACACACACACACACTAAATAAATTTTCCACACAACTCATCTTTCATGGTTTATGCCATCTTCTGCAGCACACAACCTCCTCCACATTTGTAACTTTTGCTTATTAAGTCCCACGTGAGAACTCTGATGATAGAATTCCCTCATGTTTGATGCTCCTCCCCAAGAGGAGGTCCATTAAATTTTTCACCAATTTTACTCCGCACTCTTTCGCAACAGCGATGAGCTTTCCATATTGGTGATTGAATTGTTAACACGAGATGGCGATATTTCGGGGGGTGGAAAAAGGCGCACAAGAAAGCTGTAAAAGATTTTTTACGATCTCAGGGATGATCCTTTATGCTCTGCTCGTCAATACCAGGCGCAAAAAACTTAATAACTATTCCATTCTCTCTGTCAAAACTTCCCCTACTCGTAAATGTGAAAGCTTTTTTCGTGGGGCCATAAAAAACTTGTGAAACTTCCGCTCATGAGACTTGTCAGAAAACATATCATTTGAGGAAAAGTGTCTCTTTGGAAATGTTCATTTCCTCTAAGTAAGTGGCGAATGAGGAAAAGGATGAGAGATCAGAGACAGAGCCAAGAAAATACTTCAATTGAAATGTTAATTAAATTTTTGGCTTTTCTCATTTATCAGTTTGTGTCAATAACATGTCCCATTTTCTCAATTTGCCATAGCAAAATTAAATCTGAAGATGTCGCGACGACTTCAATTAGGACTTGATATTCACAGAGAATCAGTACACATCTGTAAACAAGTCAGTCATCGCGCAATGGTGAAATTTGCGTGGGCAAGAAGGAGTGGAGAGATTGGTGGGAAAAGGGGCACAAAATCGCATAAGTGGAAGCATACAATTTTACTGAGTGAAGAGGAGGAGTGAATGTATAAATCGAAATCATGTTTGCATTTCAATATACGGCGCTGGGCGCAATAATGGGAAAAATGTGGGCGTTAAGGGCGGCACAATGGGAGCACACCATCGATATCGGAGGGCGCGCGTGAAAATGTGCAAGTGACAGTCTGCGAATTTACCTTCTGTATGTCATCCCGTTTTTACCATAACTGCGCCTTCCCGGAGGAAGTCTCTCGCATGGGTGCTGTTTTGAATGGCATTCCACCATCGACGTCTCATGCACAGCATTTGCCTTTCAGTTCTCATCAATTTATGTATGTATAACTTAATCAAAATCACGCAAGCATAAACCCTTTAAATTTTAATCATACAACTCCATTTCTTTCGCCCAAATGTCTGTCGCCTGCACTGCATTGTCAGGAGGATTTTCCCACATACAGATCAGACTCAATCATCAACCGTCATCCCTCACGACTAAAAATTTATTTATACACATACTCGAGGATATGCCAAGAGAGACGCGTTTTGAATTTTTAATATACAGAATTGTACTTTGCGTAATAAAATTGTCATTTCTCCTCCTTCCCCAGCGTCTTTGTCAAGAATTGAAAGCTGAGGACAGACCGTTTGGGGAATTTCCACATAAAGTTCCTCGCAAACAGCCCTTCTGCAAGGGGTTTGCTAGTGAGATTTTCACATCAAAATCATTCACTCTTTGTGCCCTCTCTTAATACATACAATATAATTGCTGAGTGTCACAAAGTGTAGAAAAAGCTCGCATTTTTGCACATAATCACTATGATAGTGAGTTTAACATGATCAAGATATTTAACTGACAGCTTTACTCTAATGGAGAAAGCACTGAAGAAATGATGACGAATCAACCCCTTGCATTCCGGCTTGTGCTCGGGAATTAAATGTATGCTCAGCACAAATAAAATCTCTGCATGTAGCGCGAAATATCAAGTAAAATGCGGAAAATGCGCGAAGTGCCATTTTTATTGGAATTTCACTGGCGAAAAAAGCTCCACTCACCTCCTCGGCGGCTCCCCTTCTGCGAATGTCTCAAATTGTTGTTGCTGATGTGCCGAGGGATGGCTCTAAATGGATTGGGATTTCGGATGGGAGCTTCTACCTCAGAAATTCCTCCCGCTTTTTTCCTTGTCTGCCTCGCTCTCCCCCAGAAAGGAGCCCATTAACGACAATATCGTGTGCAAAGAATGAAATTGTAATACCTCTCGTTTGACGATGGGCGGGAGCGGGCTTGTCGGTGATGTGGGCACTTTCACCGAGAGCTCAACACTCACAGAGAGAGAGTGAATCCAATTCTGAGGCGGAACGTGGAGTGAGACAGCTTCGGCAAACAGTGGCTTCAGCAAGCGAGCAAAGTGTGATGCGGAGCTTTCTATTTGCCTACGATTCTGCTCGCTCCATTAGCAAGAAAGATGATGGCAAACATATTGTCATGAATCCCACATCCTATCCGATATTCCCAAATCACAAACTATCTCTTCCATCCTCCATCTGAGCACCATCAAGTGGGATTTCCGCGCTGAGACAAGCGGTGAGAAAGCTCTCTGCACCACACACACACAAATTGTGAAACTCTAGCAGTTTTAGGGCAAAACATGTTTAATATTATTCCATGATTTTTCTTCTTCATTCATATTTACAATAATATTTTCTTTTTACAGGAATTACTGCAATTTTTTCATCAATATATATTCAATGCGTATCTCTTTTCAGCCATTTGTCAAAGACACTCCAACTTTTGTATTACACTCTCCCATTCTTTGACATATTTTCCTCTTCTTCTGCTCTTGAAACAAAAAAAGAAAGACGCTAAAACACTTCCATTTGTATAGATTCTGTGTCTTAATTTAAAATTACATTCAATGACAATGTTTGTTAGAGTTTCTTTATTTCATCTTAAAACATTTATACAAGAAAAGGGTTTTTCTTCTCATTTATATTTCAATACTTTTTTTCTCTTTATTTTTAATATTATTTGTATAGAAGATATTAAATTTCATAAGGTTTTGAATTTCATTTGACTCATTTGAAATTTTTCCTTCATTAAAATTTCACCTAAAAAATTAATGACTTCTCCCATTCAATTATACTGATATATACTCCACAAGAGTGATACATTTAATGTCCCATATCGCTTCATATATATTCAACTTTTAATTAATATTTCGAAATTGTTTTCACGTAACTCTTTTTTTTTGGTAAATTCACTTTTCTTCTCATTTATATGAACAGGAATTAATTGTTATAGAGAATAAGATATAGTTAAATTACTTTTTCCCTCTTCATCTCGGTAAAACATCACAATTTTGGTATAATGCAACTTATTAACTAAGAAAGAATGCCCTCAAAAGAGATTCGCAAGATGATTTCTTCTCGAAGTGATATTTCCCTTTGATTTGCTAAAGTCAGTGACGGCAAATACATTTTCAAAGCTCAATCTTTGAATTACGAAAAATAAAGTGATTTTAGCCAATTTACCAAAGAGTTTTAAGTGAATAATAATTAAAATTTTGTTTTTTTTCGATAGAAAAAGAAAAATATTGAATAAAACTGCCATCACTGACAATATATTATTTTCCCAGTAATTTTTCCCATTTTCCCAAAATGGTTTTGTTAAAAATTTTCCATTCAATCAATGAAAATGTTGATTTCAAGATCATGTACATTCAAAATACAATTTCAAGACGAAAATAAATCGTTACAAAGGTTCTTTGGCAATAGATGTCGATATGTATCGTCTAAAATTACATTCATCCCTCCAAGATAGTGTGTGCCATTCGTCTGCTGGCCTTTTGCGTGCTATCCAAACCTCTGCATAATTTCACCATGGACTCGTGCACACTTTTGCTCATTTTGTATTGTGAGGTGGCGGCAATTCTTGTGGAAAATTCACTATTAAAATTCAAGAGGGCGGGCGTGGTGTACACAATTTATGGATTTCACGTGGAATCTCAGTGTGATTCAGAGACGTCTTGGCAGGAGCACCCGAGGATGCCTTCCCACTCGTGGGCGAACTCCTCGCCGGCGCCTCAGAAGAGGCGCTGGCGGTGCTGCGGCGCTGGGATGAGCTACCTGGCGGCAGAAGTGGCACCATTATCACTGCCGGAGAGCGATTGGAATGGACTGGTGCCGGCAGTTGTGAGAACTAGTGTCAGCAGGAATGTAACAAGTCTCAAGTGACTGTTCTCGAAAATCGAAGCGGAATTGTTTGCTGAAATGGAAACGCTCATCGTCACTCATGGCTGTTGGCCTGGGAAGGGTGGGAAGCTCATCGCCTCGGGCCGTGTGCCACTCACCTTGAACACGATCAGCACGGGAATTGCTGGCGTAGACGGTTTCGCGCGATTCAAGGACCGGAGCTTTTTGCGGCTTATCACCCTCCACACTTTCCTCGTTGCTGCGCCAGTACACCGTCGCAATTGTCGCCAGACACTGCAATGACAAGTGGGAAGAGCGTCAGCATCCCTCAAATTCCAACAGCGATTTACAACTCCGACCGCTTTCCCTCAATTCCCTCAGCCGCCTTTCTCACTCTCAGCGAGAAAGGTGTTTTAAGAAGTCGAATTGCAGCATTCTTCATGTTCTTAACCCTTTGGGGACCGGCGGGACAAATATGTCCTTTAAAAGTGGAAATAATTGATTATGTTTTCAATTTGCGACGTTATTTTCTTGGAAATAAAGTCAGTTTGCTTTCATAATTTTAGCGTTTCTGAGGAACAAAAAGTCAAATACAAAAACTTGAAGTCAGGAGAGAAGCATTTCAATTCTCTCGCCTTGAATCTTATGACACAAACAGGTTAACGAACAGAATTTAATTCACAAAATTGAGAAATTTCACTTAATACCGTTGATTTTCAGTACCTTCAACTTCATATCGCCCTTCTTGAAGTGCTTCGGCCTCACGCGGAACTCCAGACCGAGAGTTGATGTCTCCAGACCTTCGCGACCAGTGATCAAAGGGTTGTAATTCCTGAGAAAGGCCGGATCTGCGTGTTCACCATTGATGAACCAGCTCAGATGAGTGGCCGGTTTGGATCTGCCCGAAGTGCAATTCACCCTGACGACATCGCCAATCTGGTATCTCGGTCTGCCGCCCATGATGCGCGGTCCTTCCTCGGGGAGAGCTGCAACGAAACAGAGATAATCACTTATTGATTTGTCCCCGGAGAGAGCATGAATAATTGTGAGACGCAGGACGAAGACATATTGCATCGCATTGACGCATGAAGTGCGCTTTAAGTGGAGAAAATTGAATTTATTTTTCAATATGATCTCATCGATTTTATATTATTTTACAAGGACAAGATGATGATATTGCATGTGTATTACATGTACATATTTCGTAGAAAAGTCTGTGGAATCATTCGTGAGATTACTTCTCAAGCCTCCAACCCTTGGTTAAATATGCTCATACACCCACTCTTGACAGGTTCCCACAAACGTCGGTGAGCATGTGAACTCGGGGAGCGGAAATGCGAGGGGCGTTTCTTTCTTTGTGGCATATAGCAATTGTGCCTTTTCGACGGGAGGCAAATAAAATTTTAAAAATTATTTAATTTCTCCCTTCGCCTCAAATATGAGCGCCTGGGCGTCCTTTTATTGCAGACCGAAAAACAACTTTTCGCCACAGTTAAGGAGGCACAACAAAAAGCTTTCTGCAAGAGAGAAAAAAGAGGCATAAAAGCACACCCAAGAAAATTTCCACATAACACAATGGATGAAAAGGAGCGAGAAAGGAAAATTATTCAGTGTATCTTCTATATATGGCGCGACGTCGATTCTACAGAGTTGATCTCGATGTGTGGGCGCCCACAGAGTGAGAGCGAGATGGAGGGAGAAAAAATCTATATGGAGAGAGAATAATTTCATTTGCAACAAAAGAACTTGTTGGAAAAACGCAATTTGTTTTTCATCACCATTCGACGCCCATCAACATTAATTTCTCCCCATAGCAAGAATAATGTTCTTCGACTTGCTGATGCCGTCCATAAAGTACACATAACCTTCGGTGTATTATACAATTCATTACCAGGAGGTTAATTAATAATTCCTGCAAAATTACCCTAAATTAATTGACGAATTTAACAGAAAAACCATTCAACCAAAGTGCTCAGATTGAAGGAATTTTCCAATAACTTTGTGGCTTCATAATTCTTTAACTATTATATAATCTTCCCACATTGTACAGATTTGTTTTAAGGAATTCAATGTTCGTACATCAATCAGAATGACAATTCCTTTCGGCTCTCTAATGAACCCTTTGGCCATACTTGTTAAGGAACTCTCTGGCGTAATCTGACCCGAAAGCATTCTCTCAATATCAATCCATATGATATTGACTGGCCTGAGAAGCACCGCTTGAGGCCACAACTCTCGTCAATTACAGCCATAGCAATTTCTCTTGAAATCCGACTCTGTGATTGAGCCTAATCATGAAAATTCAAAAGGTCAAATACGGCCTTTCCGAGGAGCACACCCAGAGTGAGTCATAATTAATATTGCACGACTTCGTTGCGAAATACGCCTGGAATATCACAGGAATCTAATTGCAAGTATTCAATTAAGCAATAAACATATTTCGGACTCCAGATTCCTAAGAATTGCGAAAGACACCCCCGTAATTCATTCAAAATGGTCAAGTATTTGCCAAGGAGACTATTTACTCTGCAAGAATCTGAATTTAGTCTAATTGAGTCCCTAGAAAACGTGCCTCGTAAATTTTGCTGTCGTATTTTCAACATTTTCCGCCTTGGCTCGAAAGACCGGAAACTAAAATGTCACAAATACAAACTATATCTAGAGAAGAGAATCGCGTGGGAAATTCTGCCAGATTTGCACTTTTCCCGAAGCAGAAAGCTTCATGGGAAAATTCGCCTCGTCGTGGAGATTATGTGAGAAAATTGGGATATAAATGATTTGTCCCTATAAAAATTGATAGAATACAAGGCAGGAAAGGGGTGAAAGTGTTTTCTGTGTGGAAAGAGATTTATTGACGCACTAAATGAGGAAGAATGCGAAAAATTACCAAGAACTTGACTTTATGATGATTCCATCAGCATTTTAAAGGGTTGATGCGATGTACTCTTTGCCGTGTGCGAGATGGCGCCACTCGGGAAGGGTTGAATGAAGAGCACATTTGTTTCCGTCACACCCCCTCGGGTGGCTCAAGACATAAAGGGCGATATAGCGAGTGACTCACTGGCGCGAAAGTAGGAGTGTGAAAGTGTGGTGATACCTCGCCTTGAAAACACCCACAGTGGATGACAGGAGAGCCCCGTCGCAATTTAAAGGGTGAGCGAAGCAGTGCTCGAGTGGGAGATTCACATGAAAGATATGAAAAGATAAAAGCCAGAGCAATAGAATTATATTTCACGGGCGTAATCTTAACAAACGGCAACTGTTTATATTCCGAAACTACACTAAAAGGGATTCACGCAGTGCCTCATCGTCGCCCAACCTTTCAACTGCGCGCGGAGTAGATTTTGCACAAAAAGAACTTGCCGGGGAGAGATATAATATCATTTGACATTCTCCACGGTGGGATGATCGCGTGGCGGTGGATATTTCTTCGCTGCTTAATATAAGCAACAATTCAATTTATAATATCCCGCACTTAGACGGGGGTGCAAATCTTCCAAGAATGCTTCACAGTCGTGGAAGTGTATCAACTCGTCAAATGTTTATCTTCACTGTGTCGACATTTCACGCCGAGGGGTCGCAAACTCGGGGATTTGCACACCCTCCGAAATTGGTTCAACCGCAAGATGGACCGATATGAAAACCACATGCATGAGTCATGGTTTCATGGATGGAATGTGAAGATTACGGAAAAAGTCCTTTGTTGCAGAGTTAAATCAGCAAAATAGAATGCATTTTACTGTCATTTCCTCGAGACACTGCAATGATTAATCATGTTAAACTTCCCCAGAAATACTATAAGTTGTGACTAACCCCCGATTGCTGCAGATGCGAATCTCTATAGGAAAATCTCCGGAGTCAGGTGATTTCCTGGGTGTTTTCGCGGAAAATTTCACATCCTGGCTGAAAAACACCCCGGACGGTTTCTTGTCACCCAGGTTTATTAAGTAATACAGAAATTTGCATAATGTATATTTAAATTAATAAAAAGCGTGTCAGAGAATCTCCTGTTTCACAAAGACGCAGGAGGAAAACTACGGGAAAAGTCGCAAGAGAGGAAAAGAGTGAAAAGGGGGACGAATGGATGGATGAAATGGTTGAAATTTTATGGAATATGAAAAGAGAGAAAGTATATGAAAGAAGTGCTGATAACACTTTAAAGTCATGTCTAGATATTGCAAGCCATCTACGAAATGACTAAATTTAATCTTTCAAGATAGACAAGATGTGGCGAAACACCCCTGCATAGGTCTTGCATGGCGGGAACAGGCGAATTGTAATGATGATGGTTCACTACTTTCATCTCGTGTCTCTTTCCTCTCCCCATTCAACTCCTCTCTCCATTGAGCGCGAAAGCTAGATTATTTCACTCCATTCACAGCCACGAAGTGAGGATGATGAAGAAAGACACATCACCCTGCCCAGAATTATTACTAACAATCCACGAGCTTAGGAACTGAAAAGGGTTGTTATTTATTTTTCCACAAAATGAACACGTCACCGCGCTTATTTCTTTCCTCTCGCTCTCCTTTCTTGGGTGAGTGAAAATATTTTCTCCCCACTTGCGCCTCCCTTCTTCCTTTCTGTGCTGTTTTTCTGCTCCCCTCGCCACCCTGCACGTGGATGTCACACCACGGCGGAGGGTGAGATGGGGTGTGCAAGGCTCTGTGGGACAAACAAGAGGGAGAAAAACTAAAAACAAAACCCTCCTTGGGATTAATAAAACTCTCAGCGCCGAGAAAATAAATTCTGCAAGGTTTTTCTCGCATATCGTTTTGAAAATACTACATCAAGGGCGGATGTTGGCAGACATTGTACCCGAAAGACGCTACATAGCTCACAGCTATACGGAATTATAATATTCAGATATTGAGTATATTCTTCTAGAGAACAACTTTCTCTATCTTCACGTTTGCATGATCTTTTTTCGGCAAAAAAAGAGTTGAATTGCCGACAATTGTTAGAGTTATTCAATGAATAAAATCTCTTTCAATAACACAACGAGAAGACAGTTCAAAATGCGCATATTGGCTGCAATTTTCTACTATCTATTAAATCTATTCAGACTGTGTTTTTGTACTCAATTCGTTATCTACCCACATATCAACTCCACTTGGCAATACAGAGATATACGTCGAGTTGAAAGTATATTTATAAGAAATATATAGTGCCTCAGAGAGAAAGAAACTATAAACCCATTTCATCTACCCACCATTTAAATTGGTGTACCCCAAATAAATAAATTTCACTTTTTCCCCCGGGGTGTCTTCTGTCTCTCCCTCTCGTGCCCTCCCTGTCATCTTCGACGCGGAAGTGAGTGAGAATCCTCAGCACAATGGGCGCCATAGTGGCATGTGAATGAAAATCTTCAGAAAATGTTGGCGATATGAAAAGCAGAGGAGAGAGAGAGAGTGAGAGAGAGCATAAAGAAAATGTGATTCCAAGAGCTTCCAAGTGAGCGCTCCGTCGTCTTTGGGTCCTGTGCCATATCGCTGGCACCCCGCAAATCCGTGGCGAATAAATCAAAGCCTCCATATGGTGAGTCCTTTCATGGGGCGGCGCAGAAAAAAGGGCACACGGGATCCCCTGGGCCTGACGCTCTGCACAGCGCCCGAGGAGATACATTGGGGGACCGTAAGGAAAATTAAAAATGTCAAAGTGAAAGCTTAAATCATTATCCCGCTGAATGGGTGGCAATGCGGCAGTCGTGCTCTGGATTTATGGCAAATGCCACGAAAATATAATATGAGAAGATTTTTCGGGGACCGACGACACTGTATTTTACATACATACACCCTCGCTCTGTGACACACTCAATAGACTTCCACTCTTTCGGTCTCTCGCCACCCTTGTGAAATACTACGGGCGCTTATGGAACGACTTCACGATAATATATGTGGCTCGAGGGGTGCTCTTTCCGCCATAATTTGACACTTTTAGAATGAAGCCAAGTTTGACAAGCACGGAAAAAAATTCAGTCACCTGT